AATAAAAAATGGTCATTACTCACCAAAGAAATAAAAAGCAATTTAATAAATAAAATTGTCTCGGGTTACGAGTATAACCTGGGTTCTTTGAGAAGGGGAACAAGACACTACATCTGATGCAATGCTTTGGGCAATGCCCTCAGTATAACCAGTGTCTGAAACATATCAAAACTCTGCAATTCCATTGGCAGATGACAGTCCATGACGTCACTAATGGTGCACCTGATAGTATAATCGGACACCTGCAGTTTACATCATCAACTTCTTTGATTGAAAGAGACGTTGCATTTCCACAGACATGCCGAAAAGCTTGGATGATGAGACTGGCACATTGAGGAAAAAGTTCTTCTCTTTTGTAAGGATCCACCTGCCGGCCCAAAAAGCGGAGTCCAGCGGTCTGGATGAAGGTTTAATGTGCATTCAGTCTTTTACTTGCGCTTCTGACATCATTAAATTTAGGTGATATTTCTAATTAAAAACAGAATTCTCAGCGCCACTCACATCATTTTCCATTAAATTACATTATATTTGTCCCAAATTATTGTTAATGTACATAATGACTTAATCCTAGTTTAGAAGATTGTGTATTGTGCATTTTTTAGCAAAACGTTTGTCTTTCTGTGGCTCTAATAAATTCTGTGATTCATTGTGCTATAGATCGCAATTTCTCATCCCGTTTGCTGACGCGACGCGTTCAGTGTGTGATACGTGTTGCACCGGGGCACCACTGTGCTTCTCGTCCGATGTGCGACCGCAACAAAACGGCACAGCTAGAGTGACTGATATTACCAAAATAAAACAAATCTGTTTTGTGTGAGTTCCTGACGTTTTGGATTCATGAGGAAATAATTTCACTCCTAACACTTTCTCCTTGATGTCTGCCAGGTTCAGCCACAGATGTCTCCCCGTGGACACCATCACAGCTATAAAATGAACCATGGCAGCGTCTGTTTGCTTGGTAGCCTGGAGAGATTTCAATAATCTAGATTTCAGTAACCGCCTCAGGGTGCAGTTCAAAACTTTAAGTAGTTTGGCCTGGTATGCCTGTAAATCTGCCATTGTGTGTAAGGCACCGGCCTGATCTGTTGTGGCATATGCCCTGTTGTTCAAACGTGAAGTGGTTTGAAAGGGTCAGGGTCAGAAACTTCAAAGAATCACACAGAGAGAGATAGCCTGCGAGCATCTCTTCAATGGGAGGAATCCTTACCTATCCCCACTGGTGCAAACCCTCTAAATTTACATAATTAGAATAATTAGATGAATGCAGGTTGAAGGCAGTGGCGAGCGGTGACTTTTTTAACCGGGTATGCTGAGTGATAAGACCCCCCCCCCATCGGCTTTTAGGACATTCAAAAGGGATCACAGATGACAAATAGCTAAGAAACACTGTGACAGTTGTCGATTTAAAAGTATGCACATTTCCTACCTTATTTGTAAGTGAAATTAATCACCAATCCTTCTTCTATCGTTTCAAGTTTAACCATTATTCGAATGCAAGAAAAAATATAGCTGGTTTTCCAAGTAACAACCTCCAAATAACGTTTACACGTAGTTACGTTATCAGAGGGTGGGGAGATGGGTGGATTCCCCCGCTCTGTCTCTCTGCATCTGCTAAATTATTTTTTTATTCCCAGTGAATAGGAGTTAAAACTCCCACCCGGGTGACACTACTCCAATAACAGACCATGCAAAATACCAAAAATATTTACAATATTGCAAAGTAACCTTGCAAACAATAATAAAATCAGAGAAGGACTTTAACTGTAAGCGACACGAGCATACGCAAAACAAAGGGAACAAGTTTGTTAATATAAAAATGTTATAAACTTTTTTTTTAAATGTACCGCTATAACGTTAACAATAACGTATATCTTCAATATATGTTGTCTATGACCAAAAATTTAAGAAGATATGTTTTCAGTGGAAAATTTGCTTTACTTGAGAAAACTAAAGGGTTACATTTTATTGATCAACAGAGGCATTCAGCATGATGCAATAGATATGTTTTTCCTATATTATACAGTATGTCATGTAGCTTATCAAAGTGACACAAATGCACAATAAACTACATAACTACAAATAAGAAAATAGCTCACCTGTGTGTGTGTGTGTATATATATACTTGGCTAACTAAGCTTTAGATTGTGGAGAAATTGCTCTGTGTTTGCTGGTGACCAGTCTGTTTTCTTCTTGTGTGATGCTTTTTGCTCTTTTGTTTCATGTGGATTACGACTGTGGATTACTTTAATAAATGCTGCACTTGGATCTTTCATAGAGTCTGTGAGTTTCGTGACAATAACTATAGATTTATCTGCTACAGTAAGGCTGTACTTCAGTGTTATTTTTGATAATGTTAAGGACTTGTGGAACTATTACTGGCCTATGGACTTGACAGCAGGGGCGAGGTCACATACAGTAAGTGCAGTAATGATTTGGAAATAATTATAAACATTAAATATCTCTCTAGTACAAAGTGGTAAAGTAGCTGGATTGTTGCTATATTTGGTTTTTCCACTTTTATGCTGTTATTTAGCCTAAAGGTACAGAATTGCCTAATGAACATCAGGGTGCTGAACTATAGAAACTGCAGCCATACCTATCAAATGATTCTGACATGGCAATCCCGCACAGAAGAACTATTGTTTCACATACATTTCAGTTCCAATTTAATTATTTTTTTAATTCAAATCTGAAAACAGCTATATATATATATATATATATATATATATATATATAAAGTGAAATAGGTGTAATTGTCTGTACATTTCTACAGTGATCTTTCATTTATATACTGCCACTGTAAATACATAATTTTATTCTAGGTGATGAGAGTGAGTTTTACCTTTCATGTAAAATACATTTGTAGTCTTCATGTATAAAGTTGTTTTCATGATGCAGCCCTGAGTACAGTATATATCTTTTCAGTACTAATAGGTGTCTATATCTATAGAGGAATAGAAGAACAGCACCATGTCTGGAAGGGTGCACTGAATCTAAAATGAGTCTGAATGAGGAGATTGAGCAGAGAAGCATGCCAGCATCCCCAGAAGCCAGCCGTGTGTCTATGAAGAGTGACGCATCCTTACCTCGAGATATTAATTTCAGTGATGGAGCAGTGACTTCTGACCTCGGGTAAGACTAAAGCTGA